GTCAACAGGTGTGAACAAACGCCTCAGCCCTAAACCCTAAACCCTAAACCCTAAACCCTATAAACCCCTAAACCCTTCACCCTAAAACCTAAACCCTAAACCCTAAACCCTAAACCCGAACTCCTAAACCCTAAACCCGAAATCCTAAACCCTACACCCTAAATTACTAAACCCTAAACACCCTTAGCCCTTGCAGAAACCCCAAATCCTAAACCAGTGCCTCAAAGCAGGGGCAGTAGAGGCCATAGCGGGCGGAACCTCCGGGCAAGACCGGGCCAGAGCACCCTAAACCCTAAACCCTAAACCCTAAACCCTAAACCCTAAACCCTGAACCCTAAACCCTAAACCCTAAACCCTTTTGTCTTCGGGCCCTGGGTCGCTGGAGCTCGGGGTTGTCAAGTGGGTCTAAGTCTCAGGTTCACGGTTCAAGGTAATATAGGGACCCTCAATCATTTCAATAGGGTTTTGGGGCCCACTATATTATAGTTATCATAAGGAGCCCCCATAATAGTATAGGAAAGTATTAAGGACCCTTTCGCAACTCGGGAGCCCGATGCCATGCTATTTCCCGCTCTTTAGACCCTCAAGCCCCAAAGCTCGAAATGTCACAAGAGCCGTGCATCCTTCACATACCGGCAACCGGGGCAGTTGTCTTCTCTCTAATATAAGGGCCTTACAAGAATTAGAATAGAGTGTTGGGGTATATTATACTATACTTATAATAAGGAACCCCCCCAAAAAAACAAAAAAAAAAAAAAGTATAGGTAATTCTTAAGGCCCCTACAGTAGGGCGCCTGAACCTGTGAATCCTGCGATCCCCAGGTGTGCCAGGGCACGTACTTGCTGGCCCCATACCACGTGTGAAAGCTGTGGCAGCCACCTATGTGTAATGGTATGAACCCTAAACCCTATAAACCCTAAATACTAAACCCTAAACCCTCAACCGTGAATTCAGCCGGTCAGCCTGCAGACTTAAAATGGAGCCCTAAACCCCAAACCCCAAACCCTAAACCCGTAATTCGGAAGAGCTCGGGTCGCTGGAACCCATAGCCCAAGCTAAATCATGATTTCACGGTTAACGGTATAGGGGTTGGGGTTTGCACTCGTTATAATTAATCCCTAATAGAGAACCTCGACATTCTACGATATAGGTAGCAAAGGACCCTTTGGGTAAATAAACCCACTGAAGCGCCCCGAGACAAAGAGAGTTTGGGGATTTCCTCGGCAAACGATGCCTGCACCGCACGGTTTCTTCAAGGATCTAAAATCTAAGCCTTCAAACCATGAACCCTAAACGCAGGAAGTCCTAAGCCAGAGCCGCCCAAAGCCGAGCCAGGGAGACAAGACCATGCAACACTGAACAAGCCGATGTGAAAGCTCAGGGATACTTATGGAATCTGTAAGGGAGGGGGTTCTAAGGGAGGTATATAACCCAGTAATCCCCAATTCTCCCTAGTACTCCCTTAGGTTCCCTAAAGCTCCCTGGGATCCTCCCCCCTTCAGCCACCCTCCCTTAAGGATCCTATAAGATACCTAAACCCTAAACCCTAAACCCTACCCCAGCCCCTAAAGCCTGAACCTGAAACCCGAACCTCAAAACTCTCGGAGACTCTCAGCCCGACAAAACCTCTCAAGCCTCGATGCCCTGTGCCCTACGAAACCCTGAACCCCTAAAGTCCCCTAAACTTTAAACTCCTAAACTTTAAACTCCTAAACTTTAAACTCCTAAACCCTAAACCCCTAAACCCTAAACCCTAAACCCCTAAACCCTAAACCCCTAAACCCTGAACCCCTAAACCCCTAAACCCTAAACCCCTAAACCCTAAAGTCCCCTAAACCCTAAACCCTAATGAAGCCCGGAAGGTCCGAACTCTCAAGCCGCCAAAGCCCTGATTCCTCCAAAAACTCCCGGGCACATTTGTGCTGGTAGAGGATGTTATAAAGCCAGGAGATGGTCAGAAGGCGCATGCAGTAGGCGCAGTTGCCTTAGGGCTTAGGGTTTAGCTTTTGGGGGGGGGCTTGCGCAGCTGAGATTTGGGGGGCCGGTACTATAGGGGCTTTAATGATTAGAATAAGGTCTTGGGGTATATTATACTATATAACTATATTAACGAACCCCCAAAACAGCATTGGTAATTATTTTTGGCCCCTACATAACTAGTGTTGGGGCAGGCTAGGGCTTGGTTTCAGCTTTGGAGTTTGGGCACTGCTCCCATGTCTCATCCGGACGGGAACAGAACGTTGCTACTCCCAGGGGCTGCTGCAAGCACCGTACTTGGAGGTTCATGGGACTTAGTCACCCCTTAATAATGGGGTTTAGGGATTTAGGGTTTAGGGTTTAGGGGTCTAGGGATTTAGGGTTTAGGGTCTACTTGGAGGTTCATGGGACTTAATAAGTACGGTCACAAGTACTTTAATTGGGGTTATGAATACTTAAAAGTATAGCTACCTTATTTATTCCCCAAGTGACTAAGTCCCATGAACCTTTAAGTATGCCATGCCACCGCTAGCCCTGGCAGACGAAGCTGCGAACAAAAACGGATCCAAGGTGCACTCTGCAAAGTAGAAGGTAAAGGGATCGTGCTTGTGCTCCATCACGCAGTACCTTGGAAGGATGCTCGGAGGGAAGTGTCGTTGGGAGTGAAGGGTATACCTAAACCCACCAACACCCACCTTGTTGTAGGGTTTGATTTTCTCCCCAAACATGGGACTTATAGGGACCCTACAAAAAAGTAGGTTCTGGTGGGTTAGGGTATACCATATATAAACCCTAAACCCACAATGTCTCGTGCCTCGCGGTTGGGATGTCTGACTCTTAACCAAAGCAAGAACTGGTAGGTAGGGTCTCCCTATCGGTCTGCAACTACCGGCCTTTCCCTTTCCGTATATAGCCTAACGTATACGTATATGTATAAGAGCATGTGCCTGTACAGAAATATGTAAACAGATATGTGGGTACTTCTCTAAAGCACAGTCCCTTTCAGGATTGTCTCTATAAGGGTGCCGTACTATCTTCGAGACCCAAAATAGGGACCCTACTTTAGAGAACTACCCATGTCTGTTTACACGCCATGCACAGATTCACGCGCACACACACACACACACGGGCAGCCTTAAATTTGGTGAGACGCCAAATGTCAGAAGCACAGAAACGATTTCAAACGGAAAATCCAAACAATGGCAACTTCTCAGAACACTAATAGCACATGGCAAATCACCGGGGCGATGCCACCAACAACAACAGAAACGGCGACGGCGTCGGCGACCTGGGCCGTAAATGAGCTGAAGCCTCGGTCTCAAGCCCTAAACCCGCGGCGCTGAAGCCTGAACCTAAACCCCAGGCACAAAGAACCGCTACGAAACCCTCGTGCAAACCTGTCTTCGACAACACACGTATAAACACCTTAGAACCCCCGAAAAGCCACTAAACTGTCTGCTGAATACTACTAAGACCTATAAGTTCTACTAAACAAGCACGAACACCACATCAAAACCCCCGACTAAACTTGCTGCTTCTTGGCTGGAAAAGGCTCTCGCGCTTGAAGAGCTCGGGCGCCTGGCTCCACGTTGCTTGGAGTTTTAGGGTTTAGGGTTTAGGGTTTAGGGTTTAGGGTTTAGGCCCAGAGGCTCCCAGATCCTAGAGTACCAGTAAGATGGTTCATATTGTTTCAGCTCTTGTTGCTGCCATTCGTTATTTCACGTATTCTTTCTCTTCCTTACAACTAGTCTGATCATTATTATAAATCCTTGTGTGTCAGAATAATGATGACTATGTTTAAGTTACGAATGTAGTTGCTGCTATTACGATTAGTAGAAATACTCTTGTTACCATCCTTATGTCAGTATGCTTACCTGCAAAATCATGGAGGCATCTTGAAGATGGAATAAATCAAAAACCCCAGACCCTAAACCCTAA